TCAAAGTACACACACAGGGGGGTGGGTAGGGTATCTTTTGGCAATTTTTTTCATGGTGGGCCCCACATCATGATACTATTCTATTAACATTCTGTAAGAAATTATTCTGTACATATGAATTTATCCTTATAGAATACTTTGGATATGGCTTAGTAATTTGAAAATAGCTAGCTACTTTGTCCACTTTATTTGATATTGAGATAGCTATAGGAATTCTATTAATGAAACAATCATAATTTAGATGCTAGCTAGTAAGATATTGTAACTTGGAAAAATAAAAAGGTTGACAAGAAGATTGGAAGTTTTACATTATGACAAAATTGTGAGGAAAAAAAAATACAAGATCATAGGAAAGTAGCTTAGGTAGAAAGTTTATTCTTGATTATTCGTTGGACATTGTTAGAAAAATATTAGTATGTTTACATAGTACGCAAATAACATGATCATGTTATATTTTTAGTACCTTTGAAGACGACCTTATTGTCCTTAACAATTGTTACACATGTAACTGTTCTTAAAGGAAATCTTACAAACTTACTTTGTCAAATACGATTTACATTTTTAAAGCTACATTTTATACTAATGGATGTACGAGTTTTTAAAAAGTAAATTTCAATTTACTATTAAGAAAAGAAACCTTAAGCACGACTAAATATATTACTCTCAAATGATAGATTGTTAAAACGTCAACATGTTCCTTGAGACTTGAAAACTAATTTTTGTACTTCAAAGTGGAATTTGAGCATTGAATAGTACTCTCTATCCCACAAATATATATTTGCTTTACTTTTTTGTTTGTTCCAAATTATAAGTCATTTTTCTTGTTGAGAGTATAACTAATGTCTTAATTTTTTAATATAGGTTTATTTAACATGCATTTTTATCACCAAATATGAACTATTATTATTCAATATAGAGATATATTAGAAAAATGTAAGTAATATTTAGGGTAATTATATTCACAACATAATTTTTGTTTTCTGCACTACATTTTAATTGCACCTAAAGTTCTTAATCTTTGCTCATAATTGCATTTGTGGTGCCTCCCTAACAATTTTTCATGTCATTTTTATCATCAAACTTTCCATTAGTTAACACATTTGGTAGTTGATAATAATTTTATGTTCAAAAGTCTGTTGCAATGACGTAAAACAACTTAATTTCACAATATTTAAAAAAATAAAAAATAAAAAGTGTAAAAAATATTTTTCTCTCATTTCAAAGCAAGAAAATCAAATATTTTGATATAAATCATCATCAAGATTACCACACGGCCTTAAGGTTTTGAGGTCCTAGATGATAAATTATTGTGGGGCCTTACTCATAATTTTTTTTTTCAAGCGTATTAGCATCAAACATGATTGAATGAGACAATTTCTCATGATGAGGAACATTATACCTATGGTACACACCGTTTATTTAGTCTGAAAATTAATTTTCATGTTCAAGAAATAGAATATAGAGGATTTCAGGAACCCGTTATAAGGTATGGGAGTGATGGTTACTTTTTATTGTCCAAAATATTTTATATTTAAAAAATATTTCAAAAGCAACATCATGAATTAAAATACATTACTGGGCAGGGAGTTTTTTATTTGTCTATAATGATAGACAATCCCATCTATATTATAGAAAATATTCTATCAAATTCGAACCTAAACTCTATTTACATTAGGATTCCTATTCTTTCCCCCGACCCTGCTACTAAGAAAGATGTGCACATCTTAAAATATCTTATATACGTAGGCGAGAACAGGGGAAGGGGTCAGATTTATCCCGACGGAAGCAAGAGTAACAATACTGTTTATAATGCTACGGCAGCGGGTATAGTAAGCAAAATCATACGAAAATACCTACATTATTGCACTCCTACATATATTTGTAAGAAAGTTTTACAAATAAATAAAATTTTTAGACTTTCAAAATTGAGAAAGTTTTACAAATAAATAAAATTTTTAGACTTTCAAAATTGAGGCCCCCTTATATTGTGAGGCCCAAGGCCCCTGAGTCAGTGGCCTTCGGCTATAACAGGGTCTGATCAAGGATGACACAAACTAATTAATGGAAGATTGATGATAAGAATTAGGCAAAAAAATTACTACAATGAATAAAGATTGAATAGCTTAATTGCAAATAAATGTAGTGTGTCAAATAAAAATTGTGGTACTAATATATCCATCCAAAAATTTATAGTTTCAACAAACGATAAACTTTCTTAATCTTTGGAAAAATGAAAGCAAATATATTTTATGTGTCGAGACGAGGCATAAATATTATCTACCATTAGAAGACACCGTGATTTATGGTACTAAACTGAAGTATCATTGGCCATTGATGTCAAAGCTTTCAATTTTTTGGCCTACCTGTCTTGTACTTTTTGCTTTGTTTCTCAAAAAGGAGGCCAGGCCCTACCCTTGTTAGAACAGATAAGGGCATGTGCCGAGTCAAAATTCCCAAAGAAACCTCAAAAGCTATAATGCATATTAAAATAATTATAATAAGTTGAGTTCTAATGGTAGAACAAATTAAAATAGTTAATTTGAGGACTATTTCAAGGATATATATATACACACACACAATGAACAACTATAAGATTGAATTACTCAGAATCTCAGAGTCACTATGACCGAAGCTTCCTTTGATCGTCTTGAACTAAGAATACACACTAAATGTGTGTTTGATTATATTTATTTTTCATGGAAAATATTAGTTTTCCACTCAAATTCCTACTTGGAGTGTTTGATTATTATTTTTTCCATGGAAAACATTTTCCAACTTTGGAAAATATGCCTAATTTTCCTTGTTTTTAAGGAAAATATTTTTCTTGGGTGGAGGTGATTTTTATTTTCCTCAAAACAAGGAAAACATTTTCATTTTTAGGTGATATTTTCCATGTCAATCAAACACACTCTAAAAGCTAAAGAAGAATCAACAAATAGAACGCATGGTTGAGAGACCTAATTGTACTCGCCACTTTGTTTCTCAAAAAGGAGGCCAGGCCCTACCCTTGTTAGAACAGATAAGGGCATGTGCCGAGTAGCTCAGGTCTTAGCATGAATTAGGCTCGATCCACTATGACTCTTCGTAACCCCCCCCCCGCCCCTCGCCAAACAAGCAAATATAAAAAAGCTGCGCGCATATAAGACTATGTGACTGCATCCAAACATGAACTGTGCATTGAACTAGATTGAACATCAAATTCAAATGTAAATTTACAAAAATAACATATATTTTTTAAGAACTCAAAAAAAATTTCAATATTAATACCAAGAAATATGCATATTCATAAACCTCCACTGTCATTTGTAACTTGCAGTCTACCTTCATCAACATTTATAAACTGAAATTGACAATTAATAACCTTATTGCTTTATATTGTTCAAACTCATCATCACCTTTCCAGGGAGAGAATTTGAGGCATGAAGAGTTAATTGCTAGCAATTATTAAGCATAAAATCAGCTAAAGTTATGAGCCTTTTTAATGGTTTGATTTGGTTCAAGAACGAAGAAACTAGTATTTTTTTTTTCTTTTTTTTTGAAGTAAGAAGCCGAAATTCATGAATTAAATCAAAGCATGTACTCATTAAGATTAAAATTTCAACAAAACTGCATATGCTCATCTATATGTGTCTTCCTGTTTAACGCATGCCAAAATAGTTTATTTCGTTATCAAGTCAACACAACAACTACGACTCAACCTTGTTCCCAATAAATTTAGGTACAAGGCTATATGAATCTTTTTTCGTCATTCAGTTGAGTTCTGTTACTAGATCTATAGCAAGTAGATCATTAACAACTACATAGAGAAGCTTCACTGCAATTAATTTTTCGGTTGATTACTTGTATTCAATGAATGTTCTCCCATTTCTTCATTAACACCTGTCTTGTTTTGATTAGCCCTATCTCCTTCTACCTCTCTATATTTATTCAAGTACCTTTTCAATGGTCCAGCATAATCATCAAAGCCTAAAGTTTCAAGAGCCCAGCAAACATCGTCACCATTAATCGTCTTTCGCCTCTCTTTTCTGCACTTTTCCGATGCTTCTCCGGTTACAAAGCCGATGAATTCTGACACGCATTCTTGCATTGTTTCTTTGGCCTCCTTTGAGATCTTGGCGTTTTGTGGCAAAATATGCTTCATAATCCGGCCAACGTTTGCTATAGGCAGCAAACGGTCTTGGTCCTTGATATCGTAGGAGGCACTGGCTTCTGAATTATCGACCATTCTCAGCAAAAAGAAAATGGAGTTGGAATAGTTGAGATACTTTTACATGAATATTTCTAAGTCAAACTCTTGTTTATATACACATCTATTCCATTACATATGTAAGTATGTAGGGCAAAGATGTTTTAAAGTTAAAATATACAATAATGCTATCTAACATCACTTGAACACCAACCTAGGTATTTACATATCTTATGTCCTATTAAATCAGTCACAAATTCTTATATTTAATAGAACCTGTGATTTAATAAAATAAACAATAAAACACTATGTTGGGAATTGGGAGGAGATATGACACGATACTATCGCACACAAAAAATAGGATTAAAAGGCAAAGAAGTAAATTGGCAGAGGAAAATAGTATTTTATTTAACAATCAATGGGGAAAAATACAATTTCATTAATACAAAACTTGTGAAAATAATCTAATATTTATAAGGATGCATGCCAAACCCTAAAATACTACAAAGATGGAAATAAGATAAAAAAAAATAATGTAAAATAAAGGAAACAATATCTTTCCAATAAAATCATATAAAATATAGGAAACAATCTTTTCAAATGAAATCACGTGAAAAAAGGGAAATAATATTTTCCCTAAAATCCAACTTTATTTGGGTCAAAATCTAATAATCTCAACCATGACACAAATTCCGATGCAACAAACGAAGTTCCAAAATTTTTTCACTTGGAAAAATAAATTCGACTGCAACACGAAAGAACTAAACTCTTCACCATGAACCAAACTTCTCCAACACACAAAAATACTCCTCTTTCATCATATCTAGCATGATACACAAACCCAAACATCCGATTTCCAAAATTCACAAAAAATTTTAGAACTTACCAAACAGGGTCGAAGTATACCTTGTAGCAGAATCAACACTCAATAATTTATTAGAAGGCCCATTGCTAGTCTTGACACGTTCACAAACTTTAAAAACATGCGCAACTAATTCCACATCCGCGTACCTAACTCCAATGGATCTTTCCCTATGATGACATGTCAAATATGGTGGCAAAGTGGAATTACGCATATCTCCCAAACTCGACCGAGTAGTATTCTTCATTATTGACCCAGAGCCAACTTCCAAAGGTACTGTACCAAATTGAAAATCTATCATGGTACTGAACCTGTGCTGATGTTTCTTCTTTACCAATTCTGTCCAAACTTGGAGGATGTATAATTGGGACCTCTTCCACGCATTCAGTACAACACGGATACCCTTCTGAACCCCTCAAGACTTTACTTTCTCTAGAGATCCTGTACCCTTTCGAATCAATGATACTCAGCGAGATGAATTTTTTTTTTCAAATCTGGAAAATGTCTAACGTGCCCAAGTGTTCTGATTGTCTCATCCATCAACTTCAATTTAACTCTGCCAATGACAGCTACCTGACAAGGTTCGTTGTTTCCCATTGACAATGACACCTTGCATCACCGTTTCATATCTTTCAAACAAATCTTGATTGGGACACATATGGAATGTACAAACTGTATCCAAAATCCACTCCTCATCAGGTTTGGATTCCAAGCCATAAATAGTCAAGACATCTCCACGACCAAAGTAGTCCTTAGCTATGTTGGTCTCGTTTGAAGTGTTTGATTGCTTCCCATGATTTGCAATCGAATTATCCTTGCTCTACAACTTCTCGCAATCTCTTTTGATGTGTCATTTTTTTTTGCAATAAGAACAAACTTTATTGCTGAAACTCGACCTCGACTTACCCCCTTCACCGATCACCATGAACCCAAGACCTTCTTCATCTCTGAACTCAGGTCTAACTAGATGTTTCATCTTCTCATTTGAGAACAGGACATCATACACATCTTCAATGGTCGTAAACGAAGCAGGTAGTGAGAACAATAAGATTAAGGCCAAATCTTTTTCATCGTACTTTACCTCTAAAGTTTCCAAATCAGTGGCGATCTCCTTGAACACAGTGAAATGATCTTCTAAAGATCCGCTTTCTGCCATGCAACGAGAGTACAACCACTGCTTTAGATAAATATTTGCTTGTCAGACTTTCGGCCATGCACAGTTGTTCTAGCTTCATCCACAATGCAGTTGCCATCTTCTCCTTCAAAATGTCCTGAAGAATATTGTTAGATAGATGAAGATGAATCTACAAAAGTTCTTTCCAATCCTTCTGTTGATATTTCTCTGTTGTCCAAGTTGCTGGCATCTTGTCAAATCTCAAGAACGCATCATCTAAATTCATCTACACTAATATAGCTTTCATTTTCACTTGCGACAAAGAAAATCTTGTATTGCGATCCAAAATCGAAATTTCATAACTGATGATTGCCATCGATAATAAAAACGTCAAACAAAATCACAATCAATAGCTCTAAACCACTTATTGGGAAAGGGGAGACGATATGACACAATATGAAGTATACGATCACAAACAAAAACGAGATTAAAAAAGCAAAGAAGTAAATTGGTAGAAGAACAGAGTATTTTATTCAACATTCAATTGAGAAAGGTACAATTTCAGTAATAAAAAAAACTTGTGAAAATAGTCTAGCATTTATAGGCGTGCATACCAAAGCCTAGAATACCACAAAAAGGGGAAAAGGATAAGAAATAGTATGAAAAAAAAAAAACAATATTTACTCAATAAAATCACGTGAAATAAAGGAAACAATATTTTTCATTATAATCACGTGAAAAGGAGGAAATGATATTTTCCCAAAAATTCAACCTAATTTGGATAAAAAATCCAACACACTATTGATATTAAATAACATTACTCTAAAATATATATGGATGGTGTGATTATATATACATTTGTGTTGGAAAAGTTTCTTATTCAATAGAAACCAGAGATAGAATAGATGTGGAGGTCACCCATCTAAACAGATTTAATTACATTATGATATTTTGTTGGTTAATTAATTGAAAGACTTTTATCCATGGTTGTTTGTGTCATTAGGGTATTATTTTTATTATATTGTATTTAAATTGGAGTTAGAGCCTGAGTTGGTTTTTGTTGTTTCATATTAAAAGTGATAAAGAACATGCTAGTTTTTTCTAGTCTTTTATTCGATCTTGAATATTTATAGAATTAATGAGCAAACTTAATTGAAAAATTTAAGTTCACTGCATCAGTTTTGAAATAAAAGAGTTAGATAACAGTAAGTAATTAATTAGGTGCTTTTGTTAGGTTTGGGTGTCGGGTGGGTGGAACGTATTATTTTAGTATTTGGAACTATTCATTACAATTCGGATATTTTCGTAAGTGGAATCATTCGGGTCCATGTAATTAATATAATAAAACCCGAATCCAAACTTTCGAATTCAGTTCGGGTCGATTCTACTCATAATATTTGAGGAAAAAAAAACCATGAGCTGATAATACAAAATATCTTCCTAATATCTAGCAGAATAGAAAAAATAGAATATGTCACAAAATTCATAGCCTATGTTTGGCCCCCCATTTTTACAAAAACTTATTTTTTCAAAGCTCATTTTTAACTATACATTCTCCCATAAAATAATTTTACATATAAATCGAAATTTTTTCCCCTTTTAACTACACATTTTTGAAAAATCACTATTTCAAAATACATTATCTTTGCCAAAATGGGGTTGAAACAGGGGCATGTTTCAACGCTTTCTTAATCCACTTTAAATGTATAATTGAATAGCATCAAATATCTAGCATAATGCCATCCAATTCTGGCTGTGATTATGTTTGCGTGGCCTTAAGAAGGATTTGTAAGATGGACAATGCATGAAATGCAGTAAGAGTGGGTACGTACGAGAATAATAAGATTCAATTATTCAAATAAATGAATCTTGTTGATTAAGGTACTTGAATACTGCAAACTTACTACATGTTCGATCAAGTTATTGGATCGGATAAATAAATTTTGAAAATAATAAATTTGTGATTCTAATTCAAGAAACAAGAACTGTTGGGACCCAATCAATTTTCAATTATCATTTCTCTTTCCTAATTTTTTTTGGTACCGAACTGGAACCTTCGATTTCAATTTGCTTCCTGCCTAAAAGGTTCGATTTCAATTAAAATACTCACCACTAACTTTTGTGATTGGATCGACAAAGCAAGATTTACATATTAAAGCTTTCAAAAAGTGATTTACAAAATACTCTCTAAATGCTTTAAGAAAGTTAATAATTGTAAACGACTCTTTATAGTAAAATTTATTTACTTTGTTATACCATGGTATGAAAATCTCATTTAGGCGTAGTTTTGAAATGAGAGAAAAATATAGGTTGAGTCTAAGCTTGAGATTGCACTCACATGGTTGTGGCTATAGTGAGGTGCGAGCGATTAGTAATGGTGCGCAAGCACTTAGTTTATACTCTTCAAAATCTTGCATATATTAAGATTTCAAATTTAATTATATCAAGTTGATTAAGATTCTATTAATTTCATTTCATTTTGTTATACAATAATAATATTAAGAACAAAGGGTTGAATCTAATTTTGGAAGTAATGTTAAATAAAAGTTTATGGTTGCTGACACAAAATTTCTTACAAAATCTACATAGTGCTAAAGCTCTAAATAACTTTGGATTCCTCCTGGGACAACATAAATGGATGCTGATACGGTTTCTTTGACAAATTATTTCGACACATGAAAGACTCCAATATCCATTAATTCGACAAGATTATCATTTTCTTGATTGTTCCTATATTGGATCTTTAGGATTCGCCAACTTCAATGGATGCTGACAGTATTAAACCAAATATAAGTCAATTAGGTGAGTTAATCATTTTTTTTTCTTGGCAACTTCTTTTCATTGGAGGTTATCTTGACCAACCACATGTAATGCACCATTTGGTGGACATTTTCCAGGGCATGCTCGCACTAATTCGACGTGGCCCAATAATCTTAGTTTCGTACCTTGTTTAAATTATAATTATGTTTTACAAGTTGCAACTTGTACTTTTAAGATCGGCCAAGTGGTTGTTGTGGAAAGGCTAATAATATTTCACTTTTTTCCCCTACACATATTGCACTTGAGCCAAGTCTATATTAAGCCCCAGTTTGATACTGAATGGAATATAAATTT